AAGGGAGACGCCCATCTCTACTAAGAATAGAAAAATCAGCCCAGCATGGTGGTGGGTGCCTGTAGTCCCAGCTACTCAGGAGGCTGAGGCAGGAAGATCACTTCAGCCCAGGAGTTTGAGGTTGCTGTGAGCAAGGCTGAGACCACAGGAGTCTAGCCAGGGGCAACAGAGTGAGACTCTGACTAAAAAAAAAAAAAAAAAAATAGAAGTAATCTCTCCCTCCTCTCCTGTCTCCCATAGCACTTGTACCAACAACATTCTGCCTACTGTGGGTACTAAACAGACCAGTAGCCTGCCAAAGGAGGGCTCCTCTGATGATCAGGGACAATGGTGAAATACATGCTCTCCACCTTTTTGTACACAAGAGACACACAGGAGGGAAAGTGAAGAGAAATTAGGAAAATACACATTTTTAAAATTTTTATTTATTTATTGTAGAGACCAGGTCTTGTTCTTGCTCAGGGTAGTCTTGAACTCCTTCTGGGTTCAAGCAATCCTCCTGCCTTGACCTCTCAAAGTGTTAGGATTATAGGTGCAAGCCACCACACCCAGTTGGAGAAAATTGTTTTTGCATAAAAATATTACAAAAAATATTTAAATCAGGCAGGGCACAGTGGCTCGCACCTATAATCCTAGCACTCTAGGAGGCCCAGGCAGGTGGATTGCTTTTGCTCATGAGTTGGAGACCAGCCTGAGCTGGTCCCCTGAGCAAGACCCCATCTCTAAAAACAGCTAGGCATTGTGGCAGGCGCCTATAGTCCGAGCTACTTGGGAGGCTAAAACAAGGAGATTGCTTGAGCCCATGAGTTTGAGGCTGCTGTGAACTATGATGCCACAGCACTCTACTGAGGGTGACAAAGTGAGACACTGTCTCAAAAAAAAAAAAAAATTAAATCCATAGCAATCTAGGGTTGGGGAAGGATGGAGGGTAAAGCACTGTCTGCTCCAGCTGGGTTCCTTCCCCAGTGCCTTGGACACCTAGGACAGGCTGAGTAAGAATCGCCAATATCAGGGAGCCAGTGTGAGCAACTTTCAGGTTCAGCTGCCACTTACTAGCTCTTGACCTTGGGCGCAAGTTATTAATCTCTGTGCCTCAGTTGTCTCTCTCGTTGGTAAATGGGGAGAGTAAGAGTCATTAGCTTACAGCGTTGTTCTGAGGGTTAATTTACAGATGAGTAGCATCTGGTGGCCGGCACACAGAGAGCACAGTAGAAATGTTAGCTCTTCTTTTTTATGCCAACTAAAGTACGAGTACGCTAATCTGCTGGAAACACGTTCACACAGGAATCTTTCCCAAGATCCCCAATGTCATCATCTCACCTTTGTTAGAATGCTCCTAACAACAGAAACTCTCAGGCTGCTGAGGCAGCCTGTTCTGGAAAGTTCTCATAAAGGTCTTCCACAGCAAGTTGAAATTTGCTGCCACTTCTATCCAGATCTTGGTTCTGCCCCATAACATGAATCCAGAAAGATTTAATCCCTTCTTCCATTCGACAGGGAGGACGCTCCTCTTAGTTTTTCCTTCTAACCCTAAACACCCCCAGTTCTGTCAACCGTCCCACAGATGCCCGGGCTCTGAAAGCTCCCACCCTACGTCCACCTAAGAACCCAGCAGGCACAGGTGAACACACATCTGACTGGGGCCGACTCGAAGCTGGATGACTCCCCTCTGTACAAAAGCCCAGGATTTAACTGGTGCTTTCTGCAACCATGTTTCTCGGCCCCATCACACCATAATGAGCACAACCTGAAGTCACTGAGTCTCTTTCACAGAAACCACTTTAGAGCAAGGCCTTCTGTACTGTTCTGGGCTGTGGAATCTGACTCCCCTCCGAGCTGAGCTTAGAGCGTTCACTTTCAAGGACAGGGCAGGAGATGCAGGTAGCTCCAGGGAGGGAAGGATGGAAGAAATGCTCAAATCATTTATGGATAAATTCACTTTTATTTCCTTGGAGGGCGATGGTAAAATGTGGTTAATCGTAAGATCTAGGATGATAGGATGGGAACCAGCCCTGCTTTTGTCTAGCATGTACGCTATAATGCTAATAGAACTACATTTTCTGAGCATAACTTAGAGAGAGTAATCTTGATCTCTTCCAGAATGAAAATCAGCATACTCATTTAATTATAAAGTGATACGAAACGAAATGACACGGGCCTCCTTATGATGCAGTCGTATTCTGTATTTAGTTCATTGGTGAAATGACCAGAATAATATTAATACTTCAAATTCATACATTTACACCATATACTTCAGATTATGAAGTGCTTCTCTCTCATAGAAACATTATTTGTAAACACAAACACATAGTAATCGTGTTGAAAACACATGTACATGTTTTACTATTCACAAACATTCTGCAAAGGACCATTATTCCTCCTATTCCATTTTCACAAATGAAGCAGATCTGAATTAGAGCGTTGAAGTGACAGGGTTATATTCACGAGAGAGGCAGGAGCAGAATTAAGGTTCTTTGACTCTTGCGGCAACACTATTTCTACTAAACCTTATTTGGCTAAATTTTTTTAAAAATTGCAGCTGTTAAAGTTAGGTATTTTGATGACAGTGAAGAATTTCCAGAACCCACAAAACCTTGGTATAAACAGGGAGAATCAATGACACACCTTATTGACTGGACTGGTGCTGTCACTAGCTCTTTACTCTGAAAACAAGACTCTTTGCCCACTAATACCCAGTTCCCACATGCTTTTTCCCCAAAAGAAAAGGTCCTAAAGGACTTTTTTTTTCTTAGGAACACAATGTACTAGCTGAAAAAAAAAAATAACATTACTGAGTCCACTGAATTAGGGCAGACGGGCGCAGGACTCTTACTCTGAGGAGACTCTTACCTCTGCTGGGCACCTTATTTCTACTGAATGCAGCAGCCGGCTGATGTCCGTAGGGATGTATCCCCAATTCCTGGGCATGACTCACAGTTCCTAGCAAAGATTCAGGGTCCCCAGGTCCACCAGTGCTCAAGAGCAGGGGGCTATCACGGCAAACTTTGGTCAGTGTACTTGAGCTCTTACTGTCTGGAAAGCCATCCTGGGCCCCCTCACGTGAGCAGTCCTCTTCCATACTCTCTGAATGCATCAGTGTCGGCTGATGAACGTACCCGTGGGTCGGGGTGGGGGAGGAAACCTGGGAGATACATTCTTGTGCCCTGATTTGTAGCAGATGCTGGGGGCTGGTGTGATGGTGGTGATACGAGTCAGCATTTTGATACGATAAAGCCTGGTGCTCTGTCATGCTCTGTCCCCCAAGACTGGGAGCCAGACTCCCCGCGTCCCCTTGGTTCATGTGCCTGAACAATTCTTGGTAATCGTGCTGCTGCTGTTGCTGTTGCTGCTGCTGCTGCTGGCGCTGTTGCTGCTGCCTTTTAATGAGTTGTGCAAACTCTGCTGGGGGCAGCCGAATGTCCGAATGGCCAGTGAGCGAATGCCGGGGAGACAGCAGTCCTTGAAGGATGTGAGGTACCTGCTGGTGTCTTGTGTAGTCTGGAGGCGTGGGGGACAGCAGGGCCTGCTGTAGTGCCGATGTGGTATAGTGTGACGGCTGCTGATGTGCACTGGGAGGGAAGGTGGGGAATTGGTCAAGTGGAGGGACTTTCAGGGCTTGGGTTGGAGGGAACCCCACTCCTGTTGAAGGGCTGTAGCTGCTGGGGGAACCCCGGGACTGGTCCAAAAACAGATGGGGGTGTAAATGCGCCTGGTCGTAGTTAGCAGGGGAGAACCGATTCACGTTCAAGCTGCAGACACAAAAGGGAGTGAGTAACAAGTGTGCTAGACTCCCCTGGGAATAGCTGCTACTCTTCCTCAGCAGGGATCACCCACTGGTCCAGAGAGCTGCAGTGCCACAGGGAAGAAAGGGATGTAGGCACTGGCCCTATTTATCCCCTTACTCAGGTGTCCAGTAATTTCCAAGGGCCTTAGGGCACTGTGTGCGTAACAGATCTAACTCTACCATGAAGGTAGCAACTTGGCCTATCTTAAAACATCAGTTGAGCTAAGAGGTGACAATCTCTTAGAAGAGTGACAGAGAGGGAAAGACAACTGAAACAATAGACACGGAGAACCGGCATTTTTAGATTCCTCTAACAGGCTGTTTTCTTCTTTGCAAGCAAATAGGAAGGTAGCTTTGCCATCGTCCTTCTCTGTCTCATTAGCATTTTAATCCTGGGTCAATAAATAGCTTACAGTACATCCCAAACCCATCATCCTGGTGAATTTTAGAAAGGGCAAAATACAGCATAGTCAGACCCATTCTCCTTCCCTCCTTCTCACCCTGCTAAGGGGCTTCCTCCCACCTGGATCACCTGGAGAGATGGCTGGGTGACGTCAGTCTTACCTGTGAGCCTCTGCACTGTCAGCGCTCAGCTGCTTGGACAAGGGCCGGTGCCCATAGCTGAAGGTGGCCATTAGGTTGGTACGGTGCTGCATCTGAATCGGACTGGCACTGGGGCTGATGGAGAGGCCCCGCCCAGTGGAGCCTGCGGAGGGCATGTTGCTGAGCATGTCAACAGGCTCTTGTACTTGAATGGTCACCTGCTGTGACTGGGTAGGCTGCTGCAGGCCCAAGCAGGTTAGTGCCACGCTGGGTGGAGGGGAGCAGTTTTCAGGCTGCTGATGGAAGATTGTGCTGCGGGAGGACAGGCCTTGAAACTGCGAAGGAGACGCAGCACCTGGAGAGAAAGGAACCTCAGAGTGACAAGTGCTCGGATTACCTATCAGCTGAAAGTACCGGGAGCCACTGAGGACACTCAAACCGGACATTAGCTAGAGCAGTGCTCTCAAACTTCAGTGTGTGTGAGACAAATCTGAAGAAACTGTTAAATAACATTCCTAGGCCCTACCCACAGAATTCTGATTTGGTAGATCAGGGTAAGTTCCTAAGAATCTGTATTTCTAATAAGCTCCCCTAAAAGCTGGTCCATGGCCTGTACCCTGGATAGCCTGGATCTAGGCTGTGCTTCTCAAACGGGAATGTGCACCCAAAAGGCCTGGAGATCTGGTGAAAACACAGATTCTGCTTTAGCAATGGGACTGAGAGTTGACTTTTCCTGCCAGTGTTGTTGAGTAGAGGACCCTACTTTGAGTAGAAAGGGTCTAGAAGCCAATTCAAACTCTTGTCAAGGATGCCTGGGAAACTGACGAGGGATCTGGCTTGGCTGGTGTTACTCAACAGATGCTCAGAGTGCTGGCTGCTGACAACTTGTACCAGTCACAGTTACTCATCTATCCATAAGAGAGGGTCCCACAGGTGTGGTGGACAGTCAAATGGAGGCATAACAATTCAGAAGGTTCTGGCAGCAGCTTTCTATTTGGTTGAGCTAAAGGGGGGTTTGTTAAAAATATTAATAGTTGACCTTAATTAAGAACTGTTTTGTGCCAGAGATGATTCCAAGTGCTTTACATATATGAATCTGTACCATTATTATCATCATTTTACACTGGAGAAAGCTGAGGTCTACAGAAGTCAGAGGTACCTTACCCAGGGTTTCACAGCTAAGAAACTGGCAGAACCCAGGTTTCAAAGAAAGGCAGTCTGGCTCTAGAGCCCACATCCCCGAATACGATGTTATTCTGCCTTTCAAATGGTTCATGGTGCTCGAGACTAAGCACCCTTGTCACTGTGTGGCTTGTGCTGGACGTGAACCTCTCCACTCACCGTGAGACTGGATCATGGCACTGGTCATGGGGGGAGGACTATTACTGGGTTGCCTGAAGAGATGGTTGTTGGGGTGGTTGGGGGGTGGGCTTGAAGGCTGAATCCTTAACCTTAAAAGTAACAAAACAGATAAGGAAACTTCTTGAGGTGACAGTACAATCCGGAGTTAAGTTATGGCTACACAATACGATAGGTAGAGACTATTTTTTTTAATTTGATAAGCTGCCATTCTAAAAAAACATACAATATAAGCCATTCACCATAGTCTCTTTCTCTCTCTCACATATATGAGACCATATAATGTCATCTCTGCCCTGATCATGAAACCCTGATCCTTTCCATCTCATATATATAAAATTATTATCTTTTTTTTAATTGAGACAGGGTCTCACCCTACTGCCCAGGCTAGACTGCAGATCATAACTCACTGCAACTTCAGACTTCAAGGCTTAAATGATCCTCCTGCCTCAGCCTTCCAAGTAGCAGGGACCACAGATGCATAGTAACATGGTCAGCTATTTTTATATATTTTATAGAGAAAACATCTTGCTGTGTTGCTCAAGTTGGTCTCAAACTACTGGCCTCCTGCCCTGGCCTCCAAAGTGTGGGACTACAGATGTGAGCCACTGTACCTGGCCTCCACATCCTGTCTGACCAGACTTCCCAGCCAAAGAGGCAGAGTTCACTGTGGGCCTGTGCCCAGCCTCCTCTATGAGATACCTGATTATTTTTCTCATGGGGCTAAGAAAATGAAGTGGCCCAGAAAGTCAGGATTTTAGGAAGGCTCCTGGAATTTAAACCGGCTTCTCTGCTTTTCAAATGGATTCTTGTAAGATGAATGCTAAAGTCAGTTAATAGTTCCCATATGAGTTAGGCCAAGGACGCCACGCTATAGAGACAGTGGCTCAGGTATAACACAAAATGATTCGTTACCTCTGGAGCTGGTGGGTAAGAAGGGTTGGCTGATTTTCACAAGCCGTCTGAAGAGGTGGAGAAGGCTGAGGAGGACAGATAGAATCCTAAAACATAGATGGGGGAAAGGAAAAAAAAAATCACTGTCAGCTTAAAGCTTACTCTGAGCTATTCTCAGGAAGGGAAGGAACAGAAAGAACTATCTCTGTCCGATTTATGCTTCTGTTGTTTACCAAAAGGTCTGATTACCTTCACTGAAACATGTCAACCATACACAAATCTCAATTCCACTTTGCCCTGAGTGGTCTCCTCCACAGTGCACAGGCATTTCAGCCTGAAAGCAAACTCCAAACAGGTTGGAGAAAGCAAAGAGTGACGGCCTACTTGAATTTGTTGCTGGAGAATTTGATGGTGCTGCTCCTGCTGGTATAGCATATGCTGCTGCTGGGTCTTCTCCAGGGTTCTCTCATCGATCTGCCCCCCGTACATCTTCTGCAGCTGCTCACACTCCTGAAGGGAAAGCAGTTAACACAGATGGGACGCAGCCAGGTCCGCCCCACGCAGGGAGCACAGCAGGTGCAGATCTGCCCCAAGGTCTCGTGGGCAGAAAACGCCATGAGAGAAGAACAGTGTCCTTGATGAGCAATTAGACCATTTAGAGAGGTATCTGTGTACTAAATATATTCACACTCTGCTCTAAACGAATGGAAAACACCAAAGATGGCCTGTGTATGAGGCAAAGTGTCCACTGTGAAATCCTGTACAAAGCACATGCCACTTGAAGATGGGTCATCAGAAAGGCAGAAAGGAAACTTGTCCTTTAGAGAAGCCTGGAGGTATGTTTCCTTCCTCTGGGAGTGCCACTCCCTACCAACCGGAGAATACAGCAAGTGGTAACAATGTAGGACCAGCTCCAACAAGACCCAGGGCCCGAAACCACGAGGGCCGGGGTTGCTTAGAAGAAACTTCCTGGTGCTTCCCACGGAAACCCAAGCCTAGAAAATTTTTTTTCCAATAAACTACAGACAGGAGAATAATTTAGTCCTTTCATGGGGGGAAGCCAGTTTGCTCCTGGAGAGCTGAACATAAGAAGGAAAGAATGTTAGAAAGCTCTACTGTTTCAGCCTATGAAACTGCAGTGTAGCTGATGTGAAGGGGTGGAGTGTTTGCCACCCCAGTCCTCCTGTAATACTGTCTCTGTGACCCACGCTTCTCCAGAGGCCTGCCATCTCATCCATTACCTGCTGCAACTGTTTGATGCTGCTGTTGTTGCCCATTTTTTCCAGGTGAGCTTTGAAGGCCTGGATGCTTGCAGCCCCATCTGAGAACCGGCGCACGGGGGAGAAACGCTCCGTAGGGAGGTGCAGGGTGTTGGAGTCCTTGTAGGTAGAGCTGAATACACGGGAAGAGAAGGTTAGGGGCTGGGACTCAGGGGGTGTGACCAAATCACACAGGGACTGCTGTTCCAGACGAACACAGAGACGGCTGGCTGTACGTGTAGCTCTGCATATTATGTCACTTCCATGCCACTTCCAGAAGCCGGTCATTCCCTAGCCTGCTTTCTTTTAGAGGGCTCCAAGTGTACAGCTTCCATCTCCACTTACCTTCGGCTGGCTTACTTTCCAAGCCCGGTGAGCTCCTGGGATCAAATACATCCAGTGTTTATAAATGTACTAGGCCAGGGAGAAAAGCTTCTCAATATCCCCCGGGCCAGGCTGTACAGAAACTCTTGCTTTTATAATCGTGTCTCTAGCCAGTGCCTTTAGAAACCTAAAATTCACTGTTTGACCCAAAGTTTGCCCTGAGCAGTAATCTCTGTATGACCAGAGAGAAACTATAGGCAGCACAAGTTCTGTGCTAAAAAATGGAGGGTAGAGGGTAGGGTGAGGAGGAATACGGGGAACTTCTGATCCCAGGATGCAGACAGCACATTCTTAAGGAATGTGGGCCTTCAGATCTTAGGTGCCTGCTCAACACAAATAAGGTTACCTACTGTGACGATTAACTTCTCAGAGCAACAGTACCACCCAACCTCCTAAAGAAAGAAGAATCATGTGGATTACCTTTAAAGACCCCCGCCCCCACTACTCAATCAGAACTCAGCTAGTCTCTTACAGAACGAAAGGAAGAACAAGCTATTGATAAATAATAAGCAAGACAGCATCAAGGTTAGAAGCTAACAGCTTTGCTTGTGATGTAATCAGAAAGAGATGTTTATAGGTTGAGGTAAGCAGATAAAGGACTGCCAAAGCAGCATTCCAACAGCTGATGGGAAGGATCAGGGTTTCATGACCAGGGCAGAGATGACATGACATTGCACTCTGGGTGAAATGATGAACCACCTTGCCAGTGATTCATGTTGTGCCGAAGCAGAACAGGGTGGCTAAGGAAGCAGCTTAAGGAGCGACTTTAAATACAAATGCAGACAGGGAGAGACTAGGAGGAATCTGATGGCTGTGCAGAGCTGTCAAGGAGAGTCCCGGCAGCAGGTGAGAGCCTGTGAGCGTCTCCTTGCTAATGATGACTTCTGCTTCAGACCCTACCTAAAGCTTGGCACAGTAATGAGCACAAAGCACAAATGATTTGGTGGGGGGCACAATCCAAAAACAGTGATCACGAAAGCTGCATTCAGGAGCCCTTCCTAAAAACTTCTCATTTCTGTTTTGACTTCAGATATTTGAGATAAAGCAAGCAAGCACTATTTTCCCCTAAAATTGGATTCCTGTATTTTCAATATCTTCTGATAATGGACACATTTCTGATTCAGAAAGCTGTGTTCTTCAAGCAGTCAGCACAGTCTTTCTGCACAAAAATCATTCTCTCCCATCAGAGCAATAATCCCCCATCCGGGTATTTCATGACTTTTTTAGAAGCTCAGGTTGTTAAGTAGGCTGATATGCAGGTCAGTCCAGCACAGTGACTGTAGAGGAACACTTCTGATAGTAATGATAGTGTTATTGCAAGCAATTGTTCTTGGTTTTAGTTTTTTATTAGCGAACACGTTCAAACTCAAGACAGCCTTATATTAAGCTGATACTCCCACACTATACTCTTCAAACAGGGGCTTGAGTCCTCACCACAAGATAAAATTCATCTTGTAAGTTTTTTTCTTTTTTGAGACAGAGTCTCAAGCTGTCGCCTTCAGTAGAGTGCCATGGCATCACAGCTCACAGCAACCTCAAACCCTTGGGCTTGAGCGATTCCCTTGCCTCAGCCTCCCAAGTAGCTGGGACTACAGGTGCCTGCCACAACGCCTGGCTATTTTTTGATTGCAGTTGTCACTGTTTTTAGCAGGTCCCGGCCGGGCTTGAACCCACGAGCCTCGGTGTATGTGGCTGGCGCCCTACTCATTGAGCTACGGGTGCCGAGCCATCTTGTGGGGTTTTCTCTTTTGTTATATTTTTAAAATATTTTTATATTTAAATTTACATACTTCCAGGAATGAAAAGACCTTTTTCTGTCTCCATGATGTGTTTCATCTCGTATACATCAGAAGAACAGATATTATGCTGTTCTTTAATTATCTCCTCCAGAAAATGAAAGGAATTCAATAACCTATCCAAGCTACCCATTTTCCATGTTTTATGGCCTTGGAAAGCTTCTCTCTTCCCCTAAAGACTGATTTTAATGTCCTGTGTTGCATATTTTTTGCCATCAAGACGTGCTGAATTTGCACAAATGTCCCAACTTACACAACTGCCATTCATAAACCATTCATTTTCTTCAAATTTAAACTGGCTTGGCCATAGGAAACCCTCAAAACATTCCATTAAACACAAAAACAGACAGCAGACATACTTTCGGTAGTCAAGGCTTTGGCAATGACTGTAGGAAGGGTAGGTATCGCGCAGATGGAGCTGTGGGCTAGGGTGGTCTTCCCTGAGTAACAAACATCAATGGGATATAGGGTCTGTGGTAAAGGCTGACTCTGGAGGTGTGCTGATCTTCTGTCTCCCTGAGAACACCTCCTGAGGAATACCTAGAATTAAACAAGGACACCCAAAGGACTTAAGCTCAACAACAGACACTGACAAGGGCTGAAGAATTAAGCGTCAGGCCGTGGAGGAAAGAAAAGATGAAGAAAAGGAGAAATGAAGGAATAAAGGGCCTGTTAGGGACAAGGGCAGAGATCAAAATTACGGGAAATCTCAGGAAATCCACAGGGCGGGAAGGCAGCTCTCTAATCAGAACTCAAGATGCTCTGTGATGTGTGCTAACCATACAGGTCCTCAGAGATTTTCGTTACAAAAAGATTTTCTGTGCTATCAGATTTTTATTTGAGAATCATCGTTCTTCCTACTCCTGGTAGATCATTTTTACTAAACTATTCACAGTTATAAAAGTTTATCTTCCTTCTTTCAGAGTTCCAGCGTGGCACTAATTATTTCTAGGTCTGCTCATAGTTCACCTGTCTCTGCTGATTACATCACTGCCAAGTGAGTAACCAGCTGCAATAAAAAAAACTGTATCAGGCTTGCGGGTCTGAGCTGGCTGTAAGATTTCCTAACATACACATAAACCTAATTTCCTTGGAATCCGGCTGCTTGCCAGCCTTCCTAAGTAAGACTGTCCTCCCAGAAAGACTGAAATAAAATAAGCTTTAGTAATTGCTGGTAGCTTTAAAAATGTGGCCCATGAGCTTAGGGACAGCTTCAGAATGGAGACAACTAAGATTTTTAGTCATCAAGGTATCCCCAGAAGATAATCATCTTCTTAATCTTGCAAAGTGCCATTCCCTCCCTCCCTCCCTCCTTCCAGGCTGACTTGGATTCAGTGAAGTTTTCCTGGTCAGGAAGGTTAAGCTTGGTTTTATTTCTTCAAGAGAATGAATTATAAATGGAACACAGGCCTAGAAAAAAGATTCTGCCATCAGCATGTTAAAAGGACGACTTCTCAAGCATGTCACTCAAGAGGATGCAGCATCTCTGCTCTACCACTCATAAAGGGATGTTCCTTCCTCCATAGCCAAGTTTGTTGTTCACTGGTAACATGACACAGAATGATCGTTTTTTTGAAGGTGGTACATTATTAAAGGTCAAGTTTATTGGTATGGCTACAAATCCTATTTCAGGTTGGCCTTCTGAGAGTTTTGCTTGCCTGCAGTTTTCAAGTTCAATTTTATCTATGAGTCAACATCTGGAAACATGGAAATCAACTGCAGACAAGAGACAGGTCTACAGGTAACGGGAAAGAGGAATCTCATATTGCTGTATCTCATATTGCTGTAGTGCTCAGCAGAAAACCTTGTCCTGGGCGTTGCTTAGTGCAAGGAGCTGAGAAGAGCGGAGTTCAGGATGACAGCTGGCCTCTTCTACTTAAAGCCGTGATGCTAGTCACCATCTCTGTGAGACTAGTCAGAAGGGTGCCTGCTCAGTAAGCCTCAAGGAGCTCACCTAGCTCATGTGGCTACTCACCGATGCTGATCAGGTACCAGGTGAGGAGGCCAGACCCGGGAACGGAAAGGCTGCTGTCCTAGCTGCCGCTGTAGGTCCGGTGGAATCTCAGCTGTAGGGTTGGTCATGGCCAGTGTATGTCTTTTGGACCTATTAGCCAAGTACCTGCAACAAGCAGGAGCACATTTCATAGTAAAAAAGACAGACAGGAATATTCCTCTGCAAGAAGCATTAGAAGTTAATCCAAAGCATTCAATGAGATAGTGCCAGAGCTTCAGAAGGGCTCGATGGCAGAGAGATCCCTGACTGGATGGAAGGGAAACGTGTCTCTCTGGCCAACAAAAGTTGGCTGAACACTGACGTAGATAAATTTGAACCTAAGAGCAGCCACCGAAGAGAAGAGAGAAAGCAGATCTAGCTCACAAAACGGATCACCTTACACTTCATTCCCTCCAACAGAAGAATTTCTTTTCTACACGTTAATTTTGTTCTTTGTTTCCCTCCAAAATTCCAAATTACAAGTCAGAGGAAATGAGCCCTAATGGCCATTCCTAAAGATGAGCCATGGGAGATACATTCCGAAGGGCTCCACGTGTGTCTCCTGGTCCCACAGGCCCCCAGTTTAAAACTCTCCTTACTAGAGGTCACACAAAATAGATCCTTCCATCTGGGGTAAGCGAATTCCACAACCACCCCTGCCCTTGTGCTTGCTGACTATCATTCAATCATCAAGAAGGAAAAACCGATGTTTCCCCCAGGGAACCAACATTCTGTAAAGGATGAAGAAATAAAACTACATGAAATGTTTAGAATTATTTAAAGGTGGAAAAAAAGACAAGGCAAGAAAACAGAAAAGTTTCAACAGCCGAAGTGTTCACAAGCAGATGGCTTTCATTCTGAGATCTCTCAGACCCACCGCTTAGTGGACACCATTACTAAGGTCTCAGTCCCCTCATCTGAGGGATGACTTCCTTCACCACTGCTCTTCTTCTTGGGCATGAATAAAAGAGCCATCACTCCTTTCTATTCCATCACAAGTGATGGGCATTATACCCTTAAAGTGTTACTCTAAAGAAGAAAGAAGGACAAGCTGGAGAAGTAAAGAAGACCAAGGTAGGAAGACAGTCAATTTCCTGATCTCTCATTTCTTCATGACCCAGTAGGGCCCATCTACAACCTTCCATACTCTGTCATCAGCCAACTATGGAAACAAAAGCATCAAGGAAAAAAAAGTTGCCACAATTTTCCTTCCTCTGGCTAAACTGGCCCACCCACCAACACCCCTAGTCATCAGAGTTTTCTTTTCACATTGGACCAGCACAACAATTCCCTTACAGAGCTACTGGGGGCAGGAAGCAGAGTACTGACCAGCAACCACCAGGTTCTTAAAAAATGGTCTCATTTCATTTTTAACTACTTGCCCATGTAAGCTAAAATCAGTTAATATACTATAGAGTAACTGGTGGTCATAAACTTACCAAAAAGTAACCCAGTAGTGGTTTCACATCCATTTCATAAAGACACCCAAAGTTTCCCCAAGAGCCCATGAAAACCATTTTATTTCAATTTCCCTCAAAGGAAAAACATATAATCTTGAAGAACACCTGTATTTCTGGGAAAACACATGCTGGGTTCTGGTCAAACCCCTCCCCCAGAAAATAAGAAAGACAACTCCCACAAGGGGGCATGCATGGAGCGAGGACCAGGGCCAATGGGGCGGAGGCCAAAGGAACAGTACAGCACGCCTCACGGTCATTGCCGTTCTCTGGGAGTTAGGCACCTCTCAACAAGGCTTTGCAAACAACGGATATTTGCATTTGTCCCTGGCCCAAATCCCATATTCTTTTTTTCAATATCTCTTTGTTGGTACAGGGGGGTAGAAGCAGCACACAGCAAACAGTACAAGAGGTATTCATTCTCCTGGAAAGGAAGAGTCCATGCCAGAGGTCCATGGCCAGACTCGCTAGGATCACTGTCATCCCAATCGCCAATTCCTTTTCAGTAAACAGTTCTTGGCAGGAAGGAGCAGGCTTTGCGCCTTGTGAATACTATCAGAGTTGCAATATGAAGGCAGGGGGCAAGGAAGAAAGGAGGGAGGAGAGAAAAAGTTCTTATGGTTATTGCTGTCACTTAGGGGATTTCCAGTGGCGCTTACAGAAATGAAATTTTCTGGGTAGTCTTCTGTTACTTCCATGTGGGGAGGAACATGCCATCTGGCTTGAGCAAAGAGACCACACAAATGATGAAGCGGCACTGTACCACCTCCTTGGGCAGAGGTGACCTTTCGTTGGTTGCAGGGGGAGCCTGCCCAAGGACGTTCTGCAAGCACTGCCAGATGTCACATTACCTCTGCACAGCTTCCTGATCTGGCTCCCCATCTGAGCTCTCCTCGTCCACAGGGGTAACTGCTGGCACTGCCTGGAGAGAGACAGGAAGGAAAAGCTCAAGGTGGCGGCTTAGTCTCTGACGTCTCTTAGTCTAGTAACTGGACTCGGGTAGAACTTTGTTAACTTTCTTATTTACAAAACTTTCCTAGGACTCCTGAGTTATAGAGAACTTCTATATATGCGCTTTTTGTTTTTAACCTTGCTAAAGGTATTTCTTCCCTAATTCATGTTCATTCATCCATTTATTCATCCAACAAATACGTTACGGGATAAAATGTAAACTTGGAGGTGCAGAACTTGTACTCATTTTAGACTCTAGTAGAGGATACGGGGAAGTAATTACAAAATAGCACGACGAAGTCCTCTACTAAGGGAGCTTCGGAATTAAGGAAAGCATCTGGAGGAGGTAACAAGTAACCTGGGGCAGGAAGCGTACACAGGCGCTAGCCAGGCAAAGAGAGAAAGGGGTCGGAGGTTTCTAGGCTAAGAGAAAAGAGAAGGCCAGCAGGTGTCTGAGGATCTGAAAATACAGTAGAATACTGTTTACCTGGAATGTCTAGGAACTGACCTGTTGCTTCATATTAATGTTCTTTCCAGAGTTTAAATGCCTTAATTCCAGACAAGCATGATGCATTTTTGAAAATAAATTTTTATACATAACATATAACTGTGTAGCTGCAATTTAATGCTTTAAGATAATCGTCACCTACCAAAACATGTAAGTGACATGAGAGCCATCACAACGCATGCATCAGGACTGTTGTGACTGTCCCATCTGCATGAGGACCGCGGTGCTGTGCATCCAGCTACTGACAAGCTGGTGGCTCACACAATCTCTGTGCCTCAAGCACTAGAACAAATATCACACCTCAAATGCTATAAAAGAACATTTGTTAAAATGGATAATTACAAAGCAAAAAGCCTTTTGGAAAAATTCCACTGTTTGAATGCTGCTGTGGTTTCTAGATCCTTTGCTACAGTTCTCCAAGGGTGGAGTGGACAAGGTTAGGCAGTAGAAGTGGCTGTAGCTGGGGCAGGGGAGGAAGGCTGTGGCCAGTTATAAATGGCCTGGAATAACACACTACCAAGTTTATTTTGAGCAAGGGCAGTAGTGAATCACTAAAGGATTTTAAGCAGGAGCATGATCTTGTAAGATTTATATTGGAGAAAGGTAGTTCACTGTAGCTGAGGCATGAAAGGACCAGTGGCAGAGCCCAGGAGGCAAGACTGGAAGCCAGTTAGTAGCCCACTGTGTTGACCTAGGCAACAAGTGACAGTGACGTGAGTTAAGGAAAAGGCTGTGGAGGAAAAAAAGAGATTTAATTCACAGGCATTGGATAAGTCTCCTGGTATGGTGAAGAAGGAGAGGGAAGAATTAAAGATAAAATCCACATTCCTTGCGTGTGTAACGGTTAATGACGGTGCCATTTGCTGTCACCTAAAGGGAGGAACAAACAGGCTTCACGGAGTGATGACAAATTCATTTGGGACATGTTGAATTAAATCCTGAATACTTGTGAGATAGACCAAATTTATCCAGTGTAGAACCCAGAAGGATGTTCTGGGCTAGAGAATTAGATGGTAACTGAAATTATGGGAGTGCCAAGCTATCCAGAGAGAGTAAAGTAGCTGGGAACAGGCCTAAGAGAAAACCCTGGCAAAAAGGAAATTGGAAAAGAGAGACAGGAGGAGTACAAAGAGGATGGGATGCCACAGAAGCTGAGAAAAAATAATTAGAGGGAAAAAATGGTCAACAGTGACTAACACAGTTGGGACATCCAAAAAGATAACAAGTGTCCACTGGATTTATCAACAAGAATTTGTTAGTGACCTTGACAAAAACAGTTACAGTAGACACAGTTAAGTGAACCTACCTCCTATCAAACCTGTTCAGGACCCTTCAAAACGTGTACTGATCTTGCCCATCCCAACACCTCTGTCACCTAATAGTCCACGTTATTAACTCTGGCATTTAATCTCATAGGATTACGCAGACAATCCTGTCAACAATGCCAAGAGGCACGATGTACAAAGCCTTTGTTTTCCAGACAGCAATGTTAACTAAAAGGGTGGCCCATGGATCCCTGCCAGTCCACAAACTGTTTTGTTACCAAGCCATGATAAGGTAAGTACAGAAATCAATAGTAGGCTTTTAGAAACATTTATAGCAATTTAACAGAGTAATTTTGTCTGTTGAACTGACTAAAATTAGCCTTGTGTTTTCCATGTTGCAAAAATTTTATTTTTCTAATGATTCACTTTTAGATGCTTTACAAAGGATTATATCCATAATGAATTGAAAGGGGATGGAGAAAGTCCTCAGAGAAGCACTGCCTTAAAATATAAGGGCTATGCAGTTAGTACCCAATCTTCTGGTACTGGGAGATTGAATGAATGAATGAATGAATGAACAAATGAATTACCTATGACAGAAAAATAACCAGAAACAAAACAGAGCCATGGGAAGAAAAAAAACCTGGGACTCAGCACCCATAGCACTGTGGTTTTGGTGCCAGCTACATACACTGAAGCAGGTGGGTTTGAACCCGACCGGGGCAGCTGAACAACAACGACAACTGCAACAAAAAATAGCTGGGTGTTATGGCGGGCGCCTGTAGTCCCAGCTACTGGGGAGGCTGAGGCAAGAGAATCGCTTAAGCCCAAGAGTTGGAGGTTGCTGTGAGCTGTGACGCCACAGCGCTCTACCAAGGGCAACATAGTGAGACTCTCCAAAAAAAAAAGAAATCTTTGAATGTGACTGTCATGCAAAGAAAATGAAACTGACATTAACTGACTAGGCCGGAGAGTGTGAAAGCCATTTAATCAAGTGGTCCAGGTTGTACCAAAAATGAGAGATTCTATTTATCAAAGGCGAGTTGGTGAGAAACAGTTTTGCAAAGCAGTCTAGAAAGTAATTCATTCCAGAGAACACTGTTCAATTCAACCTCTGGCAGGAAAGTTATCTACGAGAAGGCTCTGTGTTGGGACACTGCTACTTTCCTGGAGCTGGCGCGAATGCAGGTGTATTTAATGAGGGTACCCATTAAGTGGCTTGCTGAGAAAAAGGCTCCAGGGTGCCTTTGTCAGCACATATACTAAAATTGCAATGATACAGAGAAGATTGGCGTGGTCCCTACGTAAGGACGCCATGCAAATTCGTGAAGCATTCTGTATTTTTAGGGTTCATGGCACACCTCCTGGGTGCTGGACACAACTACAAAAGGGATCTTAGCTAACAAATGCAAACATTATAACCTAATCATTTATACTTGCATATTAATCTGAAATAAAAAAAAGAAAGAAAGAAAGAAAAGGCTCTCCAGGAGTAGGGTTTGGCATATAAATTATCTGGTTAAGTAGGTAAGTTAACCAAAAATAAAGTCTAGAAAAGTCTACTTAGCTTAAGGAAAATGAGACTACATTGAGCATCGCAAATGTGGAGAAAGAAGAAATTTAGACATTTAGTTAGGACCTGGATTCCCAACACCCTGTGTTCACAACCTCTATCAAAAACCTCTAAGTATATTTGGCTCCGTGCTACTACTCACTGGTGTCATGGTGACAAGTGGGGAGGGTCCCCGTGGGCGCTTCAGTAGCTGCTGGGCATGCAGCTGGATGTTGGCTCCTCCATCTGATGCCCTCCGGCCGAGGGGGCCCATTCCATTGAGTAGCTGCAGGGTAGGCGGCTGTAGTAGAGACTGCTCCTGCCAGGATTAGAATGGGAAGGACAGACAGGTGAGACTGGGGGAAGTGTGAAGGGAAAGAGCAATAACTCAATCTACTGAAATTAGAGGATCCACTGACTGTGATGTAGAGTACAGAAATCTTCCCTCTCACCTGAGCTGCTGCTTTGCAAGAGAAATCATGCTATTCTATAAGGAAACCCTTAAATCCTGAGAAAGGGCCCTCAAAGGAAGCTCAGGAGCTCCTCAGAGCCTCTCAAAGGAAGCTTAAGTTTGCTTCTTCTGGAGCAAGCCCTCTCCCACAGCCAGGTACCTTGTACTCAAGCTGCCCTGTTGGTTGCAAATTTTGCATGGGCAACAGGTTGTGCATGAAGTTCATGTTAGGGGCCACCTGGAGGAATGGAGCCTGCGGGTTGACTCCAGGAAAGCCAGGTAGGAGCTTCTGCAGGTCTTCCATGACTTCCGTGCTGATAGGAAACAAGAAGACAGAGAAGTTTGGTTAATAGTCTTACTCTGAAGTGCTTATATCCCCAAACTGATGGCATTGCCACATTCAGTACAATTCTTTTTATTTTTCAACTTTCTGAAATTTGTATTTCTTTCTCCAATCCTAAAATAAAGCAGAAGCCTAACGTGTGGAATTTGACTCTCTCCCATTTCACTGCGAAGGACCGGGGATCACTATTGTTCACTGGCCAGTCAAGTAAAACCAACAGCTTTAAACCAAGATGAAATACTGGCCCCAGTCCAGTTCAGGTTTCCAAAGCCGGAGGTGAACAGCAAGTTTCGAGAGAAAATGGGCCATCCACTAAAACAATGGCTGCCTGAAGTAGCGACTGATTCACCAAGGAAAGAATGCAATTACTCTTATCAGCGCTGATAGGATAGATAAGGACTGGAGGTACAGGGCTGTCAGGCTACGACAGTAGGTTTTACAGAATACTTTAAAATAAGAGATCTTTCCACTAACAGAGACACTCAGGACTCTACCCCTTTGCAGCCGAAACAATCTATGGCGCTAGAACATTCTCCTGCTGCCTATTTGATGGTAGGCTGAGAACAAGAAACATACAACATGCAAATCAGCAGGCATGGAGTCTTTTCTGGAAATTCACTGAGAGAAAAGTGACATTTATAAGAAAACAAGCTTTGCCCCTAGTTGAACTCTCCTAAGAATTCTTGCTACAACTTTCTCTTCCCTACTCAGCAAAGAAAATATCCAGAAAAGAGGCAAGCCTATTTTTAATGCTGTCAGTCATCAACTACAGAATAAAAATGGAGTGAACTGGCATTCAGTCCATTTCCCCAAGGTGAAGACATCAGGAAACATCATCCCAGACTGTTTTGGGAAAAGACGTTGGAAATTTGGTGTGACTGTGGATTTTGGACTTTTGTTCACAAAATTTTATTTGTCCACATATATGCATGGCATCCTATCAGTTGTCAGCTTGTCTTGGCCGCTGGGTTAGATCTCGTCTGGGAGACACAACGAGGCAGGAAACACGTGCAGTGGTAGGAAGTGAAAGTTAGGTGGCAATTTTTAATAAATCTCTTTTCTCTCAGTGAATTTCCAAAAAGAGGACTCCGTGCCCGGATGTTAATCGGGGCTGCGGAGCAGATACTCACCGTGGGTCAGCCACACCCACTGTGTGCCTCCTCATTGACAAATAGCGGACCAGCGCTTCAGGGGAAGGCTCTTCTCCTTC